ACACACACACACACACACACCGTCCAAAGGCGAATGAAAAGCAAATGCTGGCTGTTGTCATGTGAGCCCTCAGGGAGGAAGGAAGAAAAATCACCAGTGAGCATGGCTCACCGATTTAAAGATTTATTACATATTAGAACTGCATCGCAGTCTCCTGCACTAGTCTTCCCAGATCAGAGTTTTAGTTCTTGTCATTAGTTCTCGGAGCTGCGTGGTTAGCGCCAGGCAGCCAGCTCCCCGTGAGCTGCTAGCATGGGTGCTCCCTCCTCAGACCCTTTGCACCACGCTCCCTTATCTTTTTGGCATTTGGCCCCACTTGTCATTTGTATTCTCTTCTGCATCCCTGGATTTCTCCCGCTTCCTGGGCTCCGGTGTTGCTTGGCTGCCTGGCTCACAGATAGGATTTACCTTTGACCGCCATACCCCTAAGCTGGATTTTCTGTCTCCAGTCACTTCCACAGGCGCTTGCCCAGCTAACTGTGGCTCCTTTGTAATTAAAACCCTCTGGTGGTGTTAGCTTCAAGAATGTCTTTGTTAAGCATGCTAAAAGTGGTTATGCATCTGCATAAGCCCATTATTTTTTTTTAGCCCTGGTCCGGACACTTGTGTTCTGAAATTGCCTGTAATACAGCACCCACCTCAGTGTGACTGTGCCAGGGCACCTATTTTCAGTTCAGTCAACATTTATGGAGCGTCTTCAATGTGCCGAGCGCTGTGCTGTGGACAGAAAGATGAATGAGAGGTGGCCTTGGGGCTCTTGGGAAACATGTCTTCTTATTCTAAGTGATGCTAGGTGATACCACAGGCACACCTAGACAGGGTGCTGGGGATGGACAGACAGCCTGGGGGAATGGGGAGGACTTCCTGGAGACTTTGCCACTTGGGATGATAGGATCTCAAATCCAGTGTCCCCTGTGCATTTTTAGAATACCTAGTGTGTCAAGTCAACTTCTGGGCCAAGCCACAGCCCAGTTGTTATGTCTGATAAGGGAAGAGGCAACTGTAATTGTCTTCTCAGGCAATCCTGTTCTGACAGGGCCTGGAGGCCCCTGGTCTGGTGGTGGGCTCCGTCCCCTAGCACACCTGTGTGCCCTTAACCTTTGCTGTGGATAGTCGGTGGTTTCTCAGTCCTTGATAAAATGTGAATTAAAGGATCTTTTTTTTTTAAATTCCATCTATGACATGCAGTCTAACGTGGGTTGGCTTTACAAACCAGCTTCCAAAAGAGTCCTTGGCTGACCCTACCAACCAGAGTGCCACTCAGAGCCATTCCTCTTTAGAAAACCTGGTCTTGCCTTGGAAGCTGCCTCTCTTTCGTTAGCCCAGCCCTCAGGTGTGGTCTGGTCAGCGGGGCAGCACTCCCTCGGCCTGCCCTAGACACTTTCCTTCTATTAATGCAGCTGAAGATCCCATTCGTGTGCTTGGCAGCGGCACCCACTGTTGACTCATATTAGCTCTCTGTTGACTAAATCCCTGGCATCGCTTTTGCTCGTGCGGCTGTTGCTCAGCCTCGTCTCTCCCCTCCCCTGCGTGCACAGTCTTCCAGCAGCTCTGTGTGGAAAGCTGTTAGAATGTGTGGCTGGCTGGTTAGCACTCCCACTATGCCTTGGGGGGCATGGCTTTGTTGGCCAGTATTGCATTTGACAAAATTGCTTTCATTGTCTCTGGAACTCCACATTGATTCATTGTAGTTCAGTACAAACATGGAGAGTTTCAGGGTTAGCAGAGCCATGGTTGAGTCTTGCAGGCTGCCTGGGCAGCCTCCGTCAACTTAAGCTCTCTGAGCCTTGATTTTATGGTCTTTAAAATGGGGATGTTGGGAGGATTATATGACAAGAAGGATACAAACAGCCTCAGTAAACAGCAGGGTGCTGAAGGGTGACCCATAGGTTGTAATATGTCTCACGCCTTCTCTTTGGCCTAGGGAAAGGGTTAGGAAACATTTCTAGAGGTGAACATTAAAGAAAAAAAAGAAGCTGTGCCAGAAAGGTTAAACATTGCTTGGTTCTCCTTTAGTGGATATTGGAAGTTTGATGTAGTATGAGAGATGAGAAAACAGTGCCCCACCCCCCAACAGAAAAATGCAGGTTCTTAGGATTTTAGGACTGGAATTTCTAATCCAACAAAACATACATGATACAATGTAAAGATCATGTGTCTGTTTTGGAGTTGAAAGGGATCCTAGACAGCATGTACCCCACCCATTGAGTAGATGGGAAACTGAGGCCTGCGAATATAAAGTGACTTACCTTTTAGTTACTCAGTGAAGAGTTGGGATGGGCTACTTTGGGAACCTGATTGTATAGCCTCTGGAGGTGAGT